TCCGCCTTCGCCGCAGCCCCGACCCGGAGGCTCCAGCCGCTTCCTGCTTCCCCTGGCCAGGAGGAGCGGCCGCCGTTGCTCACTGCGGTGAGAGGCGGTGGGGTGGCCGGCGGCGCCCAAAGTCGGAGAGGTGCCGGCGGTATCTGCGGCCTTTTTTTGCCCGGCCCTGAGGGAGCGCTCCTAGCCTTGCATCTGCTGAAGTGCCTCGCCGTCCCTGCTGTCGGGAGGTTTGGGAGAGGGATTCTGGAAAAGCGGGAGCCGAGAAGACCTCGCCACCCTCTCTTAAACTCCTCCAACTAAGCCTTCCGTAGCTGTAGGGTACTTTCCTCCCCCAGAGCTTGCATCGCAACAGCAGCCCCCGGATACTTTGTACGGAATTTGTATGTCGGGCTCATGATGACTTAATGTTTTGCTTCCTCCAAGACTGGTGTTTTACTCTCTGGAATTTATCTTTTGCGACGGAAGGAAGACAAAAAATTCTCCCCCTCCCTGCTGATGGGCAGAAAACTTTCCTGAATCCCTTTCATTACAGTTTCTTGGGAAGTTTGCAATCCCCTTTCACCAAACATTAGAGACACATTAGAGTTTTATCAGGTTCGGTAAAGTTTGGGTCTAATAAACAATGGAGCATGGCAAGATGGATTATTTCTGTGACCAGGTACAACAAAAGGATGTGGGCCGCAGGTTGCAAGTGGGCCAGGAATTTCTGGAATATTTGAATGATCCCAGCATTTCTACTGATCTTGAGCAGGATCAGCAGCGCCTTGATAAAGTGATTGATGAATTAACAGGATGGGTTAACTCTAGTAATTATAAGGTAATGATAATTGTGCCTGATATAAATACAGTTCTAATTCATTTTAGATATTTGGGTGTTGCTCTTTTGCTAAGCTTTTTGTCAGTCAAGCAAATTGTTCAAAAATTAAATAGATTATGTTATAGTGTTTGTATCAATGTTATCCTTTTTGTAAAATTCAGTTTTGTTTAGCTTAGTAATGCTCAAATGTATATATTCAATAGACAAGACAAACATCAGTATAAAATTCAAAATAAAATTAGGTAAGATAATCCTAAATAAATAAGTGGGTCATGATTTTCCTTGAGGATACTGCATCCATTTTCATTATGGACTGAATATAACATCTGCATGTTATCATGCTAGGACTGCAATTCTTATGTATATTTAGGAGCCTAGTTGAACATACATGAGTTTTAATACAGTAAAGCAGAAACTAGTCAGCTATATTTTAGTCTAGAATTCTGTGTTTTCATAGTCTATGTAGTTGGGGATATAGTGTGTCCTGAGGAGCCAAATTGGTTAACAAGGATTTTCCATTTTTTTAAAGCAGTCAGTTTAATAGCTTTAAATATCATGAAAAGCAACAAAGTATTCAAAACATTTGCAATAATATTTTGATTATAAACTATTGCATTTTGCCTTGTAGAAAATTCAAAATGACTCATACTCCAAATTTTCTAAGCAGGTTTTTCTTGGCTATCATACAGAAAAGTAATAATGGAAAGATTTTTAAAGAGTTAGACACTTTGTTTAAAAATCTGAGATTATCATAGAAAGCTCCAGGATATTGCTCCTAAAACTCCAGTAATAGACATATCCAGTTCAGTAGTAGTCTGAGTGCTGTCCTTTTGTTTATACTTTTGTCATCTGGTGGCAGTATTGCTCTATAACTCAGGTTTCTGTTGATTCCCAGAGTACTCCAGAGATTAAGCTATGTGTACATCATAGATACTACACAGGGTGTAACTGATACAAATTTTGAACATTATTTGTAGGCCGCCTTGCAAATGTAATTGTTAACCTAGTGGGTATTGCAAAGACATAAGTGAAAAAGACATTCTAAATCTATTTTAACATTTAAGAATCATATGTGTAATTCTTTTAATGTAAGAATTTAAGAATCATACATGTATTGTAGTAGTATGTGTTTTATTCATTTGTAATAACTATTTCCCAGTTCCACATCTAATACTGTTAATTAGTTGACTTATTGAAAGTAAAACAGTGAGCCCTTAATGTAGCAGACTTCAATGCAGCAAACTTTAATTGCAACAATGAAATTCCTGTTGTATTTATATAATGCTACCATTACATAGATAACATAAATGGATGCAAATCACATAATTTGTGTCATTTGGAGAATGTGCCACCCCCAATGATATTATACAATTTAATTGGCTGTGGATAACAGGCTCCCCAATTTAACATCAGTATTAACAAGCACTCCTTCCCCAATTGATTCATTAAATTAATAGCTTATTCATTAATTTTATTCCATTATATTAAATGTATATAATGGAAACTACATAAGAAACAAATGTCAAAGGGAGAGTGAGTGAGAAGACAGATATATGACCAACTTTAATATACTGGCTAGAGTAGAGCAACTGACTAGGTGAACATCCTGAAAGCACAGTATTAGAATCATATTTTGAAATTGATAGTATTTCATTATTGAATAGTATGAGCTTTGTTCATGCTTTAAACACATAGTATTGTGTTTCGTGTTAACAAAAGTGAAGCATATTTTAAAATGAGTATGTTTTAAATGTTAAGTGTTGTAATACATTTTCATTTCTGCCAGGCTTTGGGTATTATTTATGCATTTTTTAATCATAAAGGTAGTAATTGCTTTACACAATTCCTTTACACAATAAGTAATGAATATTATTTATTGAACTGAATTCAATTGAGCATAGTGGCTTATGCTGATAGAGTAGCATTTCAGTTTCAAAAGGACACAAAAAATGTAATTCTGTGTGAATAGTTAGAAATAAGTAGCAGTGTTTTCAAGGGACTTATATTCATAGATAATTATGCATAAGATTATAGCCTTAATTTGAACCAATCACAACTAATAACCATATAGCTTTAAAGACAAATGCTACATGACATAAGGTTTTATAGGAGCTGTTACTCAGTTTAACAAATTTAAATACCAAGTTAAAGATAAATCTAAATATCACTAAAACAGTGTTTAGAATGGTGGAATCATGAATAGTGGAGAATTCTAAAATACAAATGACTCATAGATAAACATTTGTTGCCTTCCCTCTACTTTTAAACACAGACATGAGAGAGAGTTAGCATATTTTAAGCAACTGCATCATAAATTGGGGATGGTGGACTTTTGAGCCCTCTCCTCCCTTCAGAGGTTTACATAATCCTCTTCCATTATTGTTATACTTGCAAGTATCCCAGTTGCAGCACCTGCAAGTGTAACTTTTCCAGCAGCCCTGCACTGGGAAGTAGAGGAAGGTAGGATAGTTATAAATGGTGAGAGCCCTGTTTGGAGATACCATAGCTAGAACATTATCAAGGACAGTTCTGGCAGGAAAACATCACTTCAGGATACTCCCATCTCCAGAATAGATGCTGGATGTCTAATGTTGAGGATGGCTAAATTTTGCCCCCACACCATTAATGCCATCTGGCCCATATAATGAGAGTAGGGATTCAACCTGGCATTTGGCTTTTATTCTGTTCCCCACTTGTCATTAATTATATGCATTCAAATTAAGTTTATTGACTCTTCACAATTTTTCCCTACTCTTCAAGCAAACTCTTCATTTCATTCATAATAGTCTCATTTTTTCCCCTTACTTCTGCTAATGCTGTTCTGTAGTTGATCTTTCTGAAAGGAAAGAATTAGCATAGTTAACTCACTGTAATTCTTTCTCTCACACTAACCTGGCTAAGCAGCATTACTTCATTATAACCCCTGCCAAGTCCAGGAATCTTTTCTGTTTCTGATGTTCTGTTAAAGTCAGCCCAATTGAAGGAGCTTTAATTACATGTTTAACTTTCTCTTTAAAGTCTGTCAGAATTGCAGTCTAGTAGTATCTATAGTTTCAATCCAGAGGTGTAAATGGGCATGTACTAGGGTCATCCCCCCACCCCCGAACTTCACTGTAGCTCCCTGTGTTTCCAAAAGCTTGGAGACTGGGAGAATCAAAGCAGCATAATTAATAGAAAGTAGAAAGAAAATTAGTAATTCATGCTCCCCAGTACATTTTCTGCTCATTCATTGGGCCTCTTGGAATCCTAGAGCTTGTACATTTAGAAGCATAATTGTCTTCAGTGTAATGAATATATTATTGTGCTGCCTAATTGCATCTCCAGTCTATATACATACAGTATATTTGTTTATTTATACATCACATTTATATAGCCGCCCATCTCACACAAAGCAACTCTGGGCAGCGTACAATAATTAAAATAAGTGAATAAAAACAGGCATTATAAAAAAATAAAAAGTTATTAGAATAAAAACATCACAGATTTTATATTTATTTATACATCACATTTATATAGCCGCCCATCTCACACAAAGCGACTCTGGGCGGCGTACAACAATTAAAATAAGTGAATAAAAACAGACAGTATACACTCCCTCTCTCCCTCCAAAGCAAATCCATAAGCCAATGAATCTTATTCCCAGGAAAAGTGCTGTATTTTATATGCAAAACTGATCACGGTAATAAATATAGCAGTAAAATATAAAACAAAAGGTGAAATCTCTACTTTTAAGGAAAAGCTATTAGTAATACTGAACGCCCTGTTAAATGCTAACATTCAAGTTTTATTTACCAGTTTAGAGTTCTAGGGTGCCACTTTACCAAAGAAATACATCCATATATATTTTTTGACCTTGTCAACACTTAAGCTTCCTTATGCTAGATAAAAGACAATAGTCTAATGAATGTATTTCTCAAATTTAAATTGCAAAGGAACGGCTTCTTGGCATCCTGCAGATCCAAATTAAGCATAATGTTCTAATGTAAATACAAAATGTACACTTTGGTAAAAGTATTTTTTTTAACCTGAACAATATCAAAACTCATTGCAATTGGAAATAAAAAGTAAAAAAAAAGTGATAATTGAAACTCTACTGAGTAGACTTTGATCCTAATCCAAATCAGTTCCAGCATTTAGTTATAATTTAATTCATTTCTCCATATCAAAGTAGAATTAAGTGTACATGAAAGGTGTTGCCTTCTTCCCAATTTAAATTGATAACAATTTTTTAAAGCATACAGTACAAGACTAGCTGCATGAAATTTAAAACTATGGATTAAATTCTCAAATATATAAATTTATGAAGCTGATTTAAATGACTGGGTAATTGTCACAATAACTTTTTTTAACACTTTAAACATGTTTCCATAGGTATCATTACTTGGATTAGAACTTCTAGGTGCCTTTGGTGACAGATTATTAGGACGTTTCAGAGCCTATGTAGGAGCTGGTAAGTGGTTTTTAAATTTTCGTTGCAAAAAATAAGTTTTATCCTTTCGTCCATAGTTGCTTATTTTTTTAGTAGAGTTTTACATCACAGATTTGTAACAATGAAGATGGTGTAGTGATAGATTTGCTTATAGTATATATAAAGGATTCTTATTAATGCATTTGAAGGCAGTTTGTTGTGTTTGACTCTGTATAGATACCTACAAATAAAATAATTGCTCACCTTTAACAGCTACTGGGAAAGGGCTATGTCCATACTTTTCTATATCTTTATGAATAGATGGGTGATTGTTTAATAATCCTTTTTTCCCCTTAGTTTTCTTTCCTACTGGGGTATAATAATGTGAACAGTGTGGCTCTGGCCTTGGGAAGGGGTAAAGGAGCAAGGGTCTATTAAGAGAGGAGAAAAGGCAACTTTTTCCTGAAAAAGTAGAAAGTGTGAGAAAGAAATCAAAGTAACCCTCTCTTGATTTTATTTGGTTTAAGATGAGGCAGAGAGAAAAAACTCTGACAGGCTTTCAGGATTCATTAATTCTACCCTACAACAATAAAGAACATTCCTGGTATCTCTGTTGCTTCTGTCTTGATCTTGTCTACCTCGAAAGGCTGACAATAATGGATAAAATCAGAAGTATGCATTTTTCAGGGAAGTGTTTAAAATTCAGAGCTGTTACCTTGCCTGCAGGATAAATTAGAGGTAAACTGATAAGAGAAGCGATTGAGATAATTGATTTAAGTTCTGTCCATATGTATAATTTGCCTTTATAAGTAAAAGTAAGCTTTGCAACAAAATGTGGTAATATATGTTCACCTCCTTTTACAGTTTCTGTAAAAGTTTCGTGCCAAATTGCTATGCTCTACCCAAAAATAATATAGGTATGCAGTCCCACGAATGACACATACAAATAGAGTCCACTGCATCCAGGCAATGCTGTCTACCTCTTCAGGGAAGAGAATGTAGGAAGAGACCGTAGAACTACTGGCACAGATTTGTATAGCTTTTGTATATACTTTTTTGTATTTTGTATTTTGTATATACTGCATGCAGGCTTCCTGTCCTGAAGGAGGATAGGAAGAATGGATGTAATATGTACATGCCCAGCCACAGGAAAAGAGGGTAGTCTTTTGGAAGAGGGGGTACATCCTTCTTGTCCTCCTTCCCCATAACAATCACCATATCACATTTTGCCTTGGGCCTTTCTCTCGCATTTCTTTGTGTCCTCTCCTCAACCAACATCCTTGTCTGGCTCTCAGGCAGGGATTGCTGAGAGAAGGAAAAAAACATTGAGTGATGAGGAAAAAGGATACAGGTAACAGTGTGCATGTGGTGAAAGAAGCTTCTTTTCTCATTTATCAGATAAATTGTTTATCAGAAGAAAACAATTTATGAGAGACTGATTAGGAAACGTGCAGGTAGTTGACTAGGAAGAATGACTGACTGCATTACATTTTAATTAAACACAAGATTTTCAGCATTTCAATAACGTCTGTCAGTGTTCAAGAACATTTATATAGTTTTAAATTCATAATAAATTGTTTCATGTCAAAAAAGTCTTAATTAGCACTTTCAACTGCCAGGCATGTGATGGAGTCATAGAATAACATTAGTCATACTGGATCACTTACTACTTTAATGCTTACTATTCTGTAATTAAATTACTTTATTGTGTAATGTCCCTGCTAAAAAATCTGCATATATTTTATTGATTTGAGGATTTGAATGCAATTGTGCAGGACATATTTGATACTTTGATTACAGTTAAGAAATGTTCCTTGGGATGTTATTTCAATTTATATGAACCCACTTTCCACTAAGGTTACAGTAGGCATACTATAACAAGTTCGTAGTAGAGAATAAAACTCTGAGGCTTAAATAATTTCAAGAACTATAAATTAAAATGTACGTAGTGATGAAAAGGTGCCTAAATCATTTAAAAATGCTATCAACTGGTAGCTCATTTAAAGTTGGTGATCCTTGCCTTAGAGACATTTCTTGCATTTAGTAATTAGAATTGCGTATTAAAGTAATGAAATATGCTGGGGATACCACGATAGAGCAACACATGATGAGGAAATCTAGAAAGTTACAGTATTTTAAAATAAAGCATTATTTGTGGATTGTTCCATTTGGATTGAATGGATATGCAAGAAGTGTTACTTATATGAACAGGCTATGCAGTATTAATCAACCTGGTAGTAAAAGGTACACAGTAATTAATAAAAAAAAAGCATACAGAGTCTCTTTAATCACAGGTGTAATATATTGCACAATAGCAAACTTATTTCTTGAGTTAATATTGAAAGGGGAAAGAGCCTTGTATACAGTATATATTGCATTTCGTAATAGTAAAAAAACCCCAAAACCTAACCCTAACCACATTGTTTCAAAGACATATAAAAGATTTTCGTTTTGCTGTTTAAAATTTTTTATTTTTATTTTTTATTTATTTATTATTATTAAATTTATATGCGCCCGTCTCCCTCAGAGGGGAAAATAGAAATATTCCCTAGTCTTTTCCATGAGTACTGAGTACTGAGCCTCCTTTGATTGCAGCCTAATTTGAATGTGACGTCAGTCATATAATAGATCGTGCCAGTTAGGAGCCATTAAATTTGGTTTAACTCCAGTTGATTGCATGGACAAATGTTTATCAACTTGCATTGTCTCCAGCAATAACTCAAAGGTTCTCCAAGGATATTCCAGTAATCTTGTTGATCCTGTCCTTCCACCTGATCCCATTGTCTTCCCCATCTTCTGTTTCCTTCAATCTTTTCAAACATATTTTTTTCTAGTCTATCTACTCTTATCGCATGCCCACTGTATCTGAGTTTCTGTATTTGTTGAGGCTGTTCATGGTCTCAAGGGAGCATTTTATTTGGTTTTTCTTTTAGTTCATGGTATTCTTTGCAATGGTCTCCAAATCTATTTCTCTTATTCTTATTAAAATTGACACTTTAAATATTCTATCTTTATCACTGATAGATCCACATTCTTCATAATTTTGTCTAGGTTTTACCTTGCTTTTTATCTGCTACCTTCATTTCTTTACCATCAACTGTATGTTCACTAAGCATGTTGAGTGACATTACATTTGCGATCTTAATATTAAGCACTAATTGAGATTTCTCATTCTCATTTTCATAACAAGCTCTTCTAAGTAATCTTCTGGCCTGTAAGGTGCTATCATGTGCATATCTCAATTAATATTACCGTTTCTACATTTGATACCAGGTAGCATCCCTTCCAATCATGCCATTCTTATAATATACAGTATTGGCTGTATTAGTTAAGCAGATATGATGACAACATACATCCTTGTTTTACTCCCTTACCTATTCTGAACCACTCTTTCTCCAAATTAAGTTCTTATATAAGCTTCTTATTTATTGTAAAGATTCTTAGTTCTGAAACCCACATTGCGTTTATTATGTTTTGCATTCTGGCATGATCTGTTTAATAAAGGCTTTCTGTACTGCAATCATTTAAGAAAAGGTAAACCTCACATTCTGTTGGTCTGTCCATTGTCTATCTTATGTCCCTCTGCCTATTCATTTGGCATTTCACTTTGTACAAAGAACAGAGTTACATATAATATTAAGCAAAACTTTGCCTGCATGAGGCTCAATAATTTGCGTGTCCATTTTTTGATATATACCAAGCTTTTTCCAGTTTTTAGGCCATACAATCTTGTTCCATATTTGTCCACACAGAACTGTTCATTAACTGCCTTTCTGCAATTTAAACAGTTCAATGGCTATTTCATCTGTATCTTGTGGTTTCCTGTTTGACTGCTAGTTCATTGCCTGTTGCACCTCACCTTCTAGTTATGGTAAAACTCAGTCAGAAATGTCATAATTTTTTCTAAGTTTATTTTGTGGACAATTAAACTTTAAAATCTCACTGTTACCATCCCAAAATGATTAATTTTGAATACTTATATTGAGGTTATTTTATCTCCTAAAATTTATTTTCCTGGTAGCATAGTAGTATAAAATACGGGGCAAAATTGTATTCTGTCTGTCATTTTCTCAACCAGTGTAGGTGAAGAGCCATTTTAATCTCTGGTAGCCAGAAATCAGAAATCTGGTAGCACTTTTTCCAATTAACAATTTTTTAGAAAGGCAAAGGTTTTGTGAGCTATAACTCACTTCATCAGATACATGGAGTGGCTAAACTGATGTAGGATTGAGATGGGGCAGTAGAGGTGAAGGAGAGAAAGACAGGATGGTTATCCAGATACAAGTTATACAGGTAGTCCTCACTTAGCCACAATAGGGACTGGAAAATTGGTCATTAAGCAGGGCGGTCATTAAGTGAGTCACCATGTGACCGGACCCCGATTTTACGACCATTTTTACAACAGCTGTAAAGCAAATCACCATGGTTATTAAGCGAATCACATCATTAAGCAAATCCAGCATCCCCGATTGACTTTTTGGGGGGAATTTCTTAACGATTGTGTGATTTGCTTTACAACTGTCATAAAAAAGGTCACAAATTGCGATCACATGACCACAGGACATTGCAACTGGTTGTAAATGTGAGCTGGTTGCCAAGTGCCCAAATTGCAATCACGTGACCGTGGGGATGGTGCAACGGTTTACGGCAGTCGTAAGTGCAAGTACAGGTTGTAAAGCACTTTTTCCAAGGCATTGTAACTTCGAACTGTCATTAAACAAACCATTAAGTGAGGACTACTTGTATGTGATACCCATAAGTACCTTATTGATTAACAATTGTAATGTTAACAAGTACACACATAACAGGTCTACACACAAGAACAGAGGCACCTTCACCTGCTCTTCCTGTAATGTGATATATGCCATCATCTGCCAGCAATGCCCTTCTGGATTTTTCATAGAACAGACAGGACAAACTTTATTTTGTGGACAATTAAACTTTAAAATCTCACTGTTACCATCCCAAAATGATTAATTTTGAATTCTGTGCAAAATAATTAATGGACACAAGTTTGAAATCAGGACTCAAAGATGAAGAAATATAAGAGCACTTCAGCCTCCCAGGCACTGTATTGCACATCTCAAAGTGAACATTTTAGAAAAAAGAAATTTTACCAGTACAGTTGAGCAAAAGCTTACTGAACCCACATCAAAAGATTTCAGACTATCTCAGAAAGTCTCAACCAACACAATGGGTCCTTAACATATTAAAATTGTTAATTGATAAGATACTCATGTCACGTGTACCCTGTATCTGTTTAACCAACCTGTCTACATCCATTTATCTATGCTGTGGATCTGAAGTAAATTTTAGCTCACAAAAGCGTACATCTTTTAATAAAATGTGTTAGTCTGAAAAAGGTGCTACAGACTTCTGATCTGAGGACCAGTTCATTATAAACAATTAAAATTGTATTTAACTGTAACTGTTTTAACAGTTTACGATATAAATTGCTCTGTATATGCAGCATTAGTTAGTCTGAGTGTCTAGCATGCTATCGTTGCATTTTTGGTACCTAACTTAAAAATAAAATTAAATAGTTGGCTGTATGTATGAGAAGGAAAATACCTGCAGTTTATTTGACCATCACTAGATGGCACCGCTATCTGATGTGGAAAGCACTTGGCATACTGTTGGCCCACATAGCATGGCAGTCTCTCTGCCATGATTTTTAAGAAATAGTCTTTGAAGTATTTAAAAATATACTTACGAAGCATATTTTAGATGACTGATTATTTATAACAAAATCAGTATAAAATGTCCAGTCAGAAGTTATTTGTACTTTACTTTGTTAAGAGCACGCCTAATTAGATGTTCTAGAATTTAATCCAAATATTTAACTTATAGCTGTAATTAATGTAGCTATTGTAAGAAATAGATGGTATGTGGTTTGAGTAAAGCTGTGTCTGTCTCTCAGTGCTAAACTTAAAAGGAATAATGGTTATTTTTCATAAAATAATGCTTGTTCAGTAAGCATATGATCAGTCAGTAAGGCATTGCTTGGTATTCTGAAAATAATTATGCCAGCATTTTGCAGAGGGTGGTAAACATTGTTTTAACACTTGTATCTGTAACAGAAATTAAATCAATAGACTGAATTTAGCAAATAAATAATTTCTTCTGGATTTTTTCATTAGGCCTGAAATATACCGATAACAGGGGGAAAAAATTGTCTACATGCCTGAGAATGATGGGATATTCTCCCAAATGTTTTTTCATGTAGTTAAAAATAAAAAAGTGGGGATCTCTACATGCATTGTGTATCATTTAATTGGACATAGTTGTAGTTGTATTTTGTTTCTGCACATAATTTGTATATGATAAATGTTTTAGGAGAACAAACAAGAAGATGGATGTGTTACTAGGAGTCTAATATTGAAAATTCTGTCAACAATTCTGGAGGTTGATTAGGGAGCAAGCAAAAAAGAACTTATATCCAGGGTTCCTCAACCTCAGCAACTTTAAGATGGGTGGACTTCAATTCCCAGAATTCCCCAGCCAGCATGTTATCTAATATTAACTTTTCAGAACTAGCTGCACGAGTAGGAAAAGAAATTGGATGAAGATGCTTATAAACCCATGTAGCTGGAGAATTCAAAAGTGTTTTACATGGCCAAGAAAGAAGTTATAAAATAGCTATCTTTGCTGTTTGTATGAAACATGTCTTAATAAGAAATCTTGACCAGTTGAAATATGGTTGAAACAAGATAAAAAAATAAACTGTTTTGGCACAGAGCTTCAAAATTATTCATCGAGCTTGTTCATTGCATAATGCATTTGCTCTTATTTTTATCCCCTAGTTCTTATAGTGTTGATGGATCGAATGGGAGATGCCAAAGACCAGGTTCGAGAACAGGCCCAGAATCTTACTTTGAAGTTAATGGACCAAGTAGCTCCACCAATGGTAGGAATTCTATGGAGAGGATTTTTTCTGTTCAATGTGAATCATTCTGTTCTAATGAGGTAACCAGCAAAGTCTCAACCAGCAATTTAAAGGGGGGGGGGGAATTGTGATTTTTCTGGCTGAGGATACATGGGTTCACTTGTGTGTTAAGCACAAAGTTTAAGCATATAGTCTGAGAGGGAATGACTTACAGCTGCAGCTGAATGAATATATGATCATTTAGTTATTGTTGCTGCACTCCTCAGCTGGTAGCATGTGAAAAAACCCAAACTTTTCCCAAGGGATTTGAATGTGAAGACAAACAAATCCATCTCAGATCCTACCAAAAGGATGGATGGTGAGGGAGCAATAGTAGTGACTTGTTGGGGGTATATTGTACCACTGTTTGTCTTTTTAGCAGAAGACCATGCCAATTACATCTCTCGTAAATCTTCCTTGGAGAAGGAACATATCAAATATACAATTAAAACAGTTAAAAACACAACAAAGTCCAGACATGAAAATAACTATAAAAATCAAAAACACAACAGGGGTTCCACAAAGTAATCCCAGAACTGGGAACAGAGCCAGGTCTTAAGGGCCTTTTGGAACACCAGGAGAGTGGGTGCCATATGAATCTCTGGGGGACAATATTCATAAAATATGCACATATCTTGTATGTAAACAAGACAAACTGATTGCAAGAAGTGTGCTGTCTTTCTGGTGCATGTGTTCAGGAAATAACAGAAAGATTACCTAGTCTTGTCAAACTGACTGATTGCTATCTATTCCTGTCCATGGGAACCACTGAATGCTAGAAGACAAACTCTTTAGAGGATTCCAAGTGACTAGGAAGAAAGACAAAAGGGGCAACAGTAATGTTTTCATCCATCTTTTCTGTTGATGATCAAACCAGAAGAGAAAGCAGGATCCTGGAAGTGAACAACTGACTAAAAAGATAATATTATCAAAAACTCTTTGGATTTCAAGACCAAAGCTTACTCACCAATATAAAGGACTCATAAGCAGTGATGGGTTACATCTTACAAAAACTGAGAAAAATTGTTTACTGGGCATTAGGAATATGGCTGCATGTGATAATGGAGGAACTATGAGGAAAGATTATTAGGAAATCTTCAGTATATGGCTATAGAGAGACCAGTAAAGAATTGCATCCATAATTTCTAGTGTCTGTACACCAGTGTACAGAGTATGGGTAACTAAAAATTCTAATATAGGAAATTAAATATGGCCAGCATCATGGAGGTCTGGTGGGATGAAAATCTTAATTCAAATGTAGAACTCAAAGTATGTTATTTCTTTACAAGAAATAGGCTTTAAAAAGGGGAAGCAAAATGGCTTTTTAGTAAAGAAGTCATATGCCTGTGGGGGAAAAAATCATGAATGTGGAAGTTTTGTTGAAAGCATCTGGGTAAGATGAAAAGGAGTACAAAACAAGAGTGATATCATTTGGAAAGTTAACTACAGGTCACCTATCCAGGCAGAAGATGTGGACAATGCCTTTTTAAATCAACTCATCAAGTTGTCAAGAAGAGAGGCTGTTGTGATAACCAACTACCTTGATATCAGTTGGGAAACTTAACTGGCTAGGAGTGGGAGATTTGGCAGATTTCTGATCTTTCTTGACAACAAATTAGTTTTCAGAAAATGGAAGAAAAAAACAAGGATTAAATTCAACTATCTGAATTTAATCTTGACAGATAGATAGAATTGGTCAATGGACTGAAGGTATCAAGTACCTAGGGGGAAGACAACCACATTATATAAGGGGCTCAAGATAATTTGGGGAGGAATTGCTGAAAGTCGGTTGGACTTCAGGAAGGCAGACTTTAAAGCACACGGTCAAAAGCTGGGGAATATACAGTGGTACCTCGGGATATGAATGCCTCTACTAACGAAATTTTCAGGTTATGACCAGCTCCGGCCGCAAAAATTTACCTCGATGTGCGAACTCCGCCTCGGGGTACGGCCATTTTTCCGCCCCTGACATGTGGTCCGCGGCCATTTGTCCGCCCCTGACACGTGGTCCGCGGCCATTTTTCCGCCGCGCTGCGTGGTGCCCGGCCATTTTTGTGCCACGCCGCGCGGCACCCGGCCGTTTTCGCACCACGCCACGCCCGGCCGTTTTTGCGCCTCTGATGCGTGGTCCGCGGATGCCAAAACGAATTAACGGTAATTACATTGAACCTTATGGGAAAATTTGCTTCGGGGTGCGACCAAA